TTTTTTTTTTTTTTTTTCTTAACAAATTAGAAAATGGAATGTTTTCAATTTTGCAGGTATTTTATTTTTTCAGGCAAAGGTGCACGGGATACAGTTTGGAGTACAGGACACAGCAAAGAGTACCTGCGACCCGGGAACAAAGGGCACAGAGCGGCAAGACAAGGGATCTGAGTTGCAGGGAATTCTCTGGCAGAGTTTTTAAAACTCTCAGGGTCGAGTTTCAGGGAAGTCGTCCAAGGGCTTGAACTTAACTTGCTTCCCTGCTTTCAGGGTCCAGGTGTGGAAACAATCACAAAGAGATCACTTAAAACTATAGTAATGGGAAACATGGTGAACCTGAAATATTTAATTAGGCTCTATTCCTTAGAAAAACATGAACTGGGAGGCGTGTGTGAACAGTGCCAGGAGGTATGGTGCCCTTGTCCCCGTGGGTTTGACTCTTTCTGACCAGTGCTTTGGTAATGTGGTCTAGAAACGGGCGGTTTGCCAGAGAGAGGCAGCCTGACATTGGGGAAGGGGCCATCTCTGAAGGGGGGCACCTTGAGTTCTGAATCAGCCAATCTTAGACAAAGTAGGCAGGGTCCTTGGCAAATAGGCATTTAGTAGATGGAGGAGAGTCAGGCAGTATAGCACCCCGAGAATGGTTAGAGACTTTGGAGCCACAGGGAAGGGGTTTGCTGTCAACTCTATTACTTACTAGTGACATGATCTACTGCAGCACGTTACTTGACCTGTCTAGGACTCAGTTTTCTCATCAGTAAAATGGGGATGATACTAGGAATTAACCTTGAAGGACTGATGTCAGGATTAAACGTGGTATGGTAATGTAAGCAAGCTGTTGAACAGAGCACTGGGGACACAGTAGACGTAGCACCTTTTATTATTCCCTAATGATAGGCTTTAAAGGTATCCACTGAGTCACAAAGACTCAGGTTCTTGCTGTGTGCCAGGCTCTGGGTTGGTACTGGGGGTAGCTGTGATCTGGGCAACATTGGAGTTAATAATTTAATAGTAAAGCTCCACCCTTCTTAAGAAGAAGTAGGAGCTCTCCTGAAGGGTAGATTCTTGCCTCTTTAGTGAGGACATGGGTCCAAAAACCAGAACTGAGGTAGGTACGCCCTAGGTGTTTCCAGAGTGGAAATCTGCCTCTGGATTTTGCTGGAAGTAAGTTGGACTTGTGGGTGGTGGGTGATAAGATGTTGCACTCCCTGCAGGGGAAGACGGAGACAAAAGTGAGGAACCCAGGCTTGAGGAGCTGGGCTAGCAGGAATGGCGAGAAGCTGGGAGATGGCTGGCCAGTAAGGGTGAGCCGGAATGGTTGTATAGACTCTTGATTTCCTATTTATTTCCTTGTTTCTCTCTGAAATGTTTCGAATAGCCTTGGGGAATTCTAGCCAAGGGCAGAGGGCTCTTCGCAAGCCAGGATCAGTGTTAGGAGCACCCCTGGGCCTTTACGCTGGGGACAGTGAGAAGCTAAAAGGGAATTCTGAGTAAAGAGGTTGTGGTGTGGTCAGTAGCAGGGAGATGGAGGAACTGGCTTGGTCAGTCTTCCTCCTATGTGCATAGGAAGAAACTTGAGGTAGCTCTGAGCCAATGCAGGGCCCTGTCTTGTCCTCCGCTCATAGCAGGGTGCCTGTGCCTGGTGCATTCTGCATTTCTTTGAATATCAGTCATGGATTACAAGATGCATTATTGTTTCATGCATCACCAAGAAAGAAAATGCTACCACTTGATTGTAAGATGCCACTGATTATAGGATTCACTGATTTTAGAGAAGCAAAATGAAAAAAATGAGTGTCTAGAATTAATAAAATGTGGTTGTAGGCATTCAGTAAATGTTAATTGGATGAATGAAGCATACAGAGATTAGAATCAAGACAAAACACTCGTGCGTATAGGTACGAAATTAGGAATTCAAACTATTAAAGCATGAGGTTCATCCATGATTTCTATCGATTTCACTGATCTAGCTGCTCATTCAGGAAACATTTATTGAAAACTGATTATATACTAGGAACTAGGGATACAGAAATCAATAAGTTCCTTTTTTTTAGGTTCAGGCCAGTAAGGGAGACAGACCTGGAACCGAAAACAAATCCTATTTCACAATGGTTAGGTTGTAAAAGAAAGCAGGGACATGGTACTCTGGTGGCAGCGAGGGACAGGGAAAGGCAAGGATGTCTTTCCTGAAGGGGAGATGGTTGAGCTGGAAGCTTGCAGTGTGAGTCTGTGGCCACCAGGCTCACAAGAGAGGAGGGTGTGAGGAAGGGAAGGGCAAGTAGGAAGCCCTCGGTGGGGCAGCCCCGAGGCAAGGTGTGCCCTTGAGAACCTGTGAGGAGTCTCAGACTATCTGGGGTTGGTGTAAGACGTGGTGGGATTGTGTTAGACATGCCTGACAGCAAACGGGGAAGCTCGTGGTGGGCCTGGGATGCCATGCAGGACACCATGCTGTATTTCAACCATCCTGGGTCCTGAGAAAGGGCCCCGCAGAGGGGTGGCTGCAGGGAGAGGTGTGGAGGGGGCGCTGGGCTGATCTTTGCTTCAAATGGAGCAGCTGCACTTTGACTTGTTTCACTTAAATTTTGTGTGAGTCATGGCTTGAAGAACACTGAGGAATGCGTAGCTTGATGTCTGGTGCTGTAGATCCTGTGTAGCTCCCAAAGCATGTAAGCGAGGAAGTCAGGCTGAGAAAGCGTGGAGGCTGGAGCCTGGGAGCTGTTCTCCGAAGCCCTGCTGAAGGTAGCACGTGTGCTGGCTGTGGCTCCCCAGCACCGCCTCCCCGTTTTCCCTTCCACCTGCCAGGGAGCCTGCTAACCCAAGGGGGCAAACACCATTGGGAGATCACTGTGATTAAGTCAGAAGTGGTCACTTTTCATGAAGCTGTTTTTGAATGGGATAAATATCCAGGAAGCAGTAACTGAACATCTGCGGGCTGGCTGCGTTTTAGCATCCCCAAGTGTGGCTTTGCCAGGGAAGCATTACCTTTTTGAAATGGATGGGCTCAGGCCACTTTCTCGGTTGAAATGAGATTCCCGGGTGCAAAGACTGCCCCGGGCTCACCTGGGGAGTTGTAGCCTGTTCACCAGCGCTGTTGTCTTGGGGGCTTGTTCTTGCTCTTGGAAAGGCTGATCTGGGAAATGAAAGTCGCTGGGAGATTTCTGTGTCATGTGGGCTAATCTGACCAGAGGGACCTAGAGTGGTGATGACGGCCAAGGAATTCCTGAGTGTTCTCTGGTCGGATTTCCTTGTAACTCACAAGGGGTCTGCAAAGAAAACAGACGGTCTCACAAATTCCTGATCCTGTGCCCCGAGAGGCTCCTTCCCAGTTCTCAGTCTCTTCATGACTCGGCTGCAGTGTATTTGCCTCTTCTCCAAAGTGACCCTGCAGGCTGTTAAGAGGGAACGAGGGGAAGGGCATGCATGGGACTTGGCGGTACCAGATGGGAAGTTGTGGGTCTGGGCTGCCTGTGAATGATGCTGCTGCCTCTCTTCATGTCTCAGAGACCTGTTTCCCCATCAGTACAACGTGTGTCATTTACTCTTCCTAAGTGTGTGGACCTGCCTTTAAGAGAAAAGTGACGTATCTCTTGGAGTCTCCTCTGATGATCTATAAATTCGGATGACTTAAATAGACTCCTTCTGGGGTTGCAGTGAGGAATACGGGAGGGGTGCATGGACTTTTCCCAGTGCTTGGCATGTCACAGGTGCTCAGTAGATAATTTTTTGAATGAATGGTTGACAGGGTAGATGAGGTTCCTTTTTTGTACTGTGGCCACTGTCCTCACTTTGATTCAAATTTAATGAGAATAAATACATATCTATTAGCTCTAGATTCTCTGGATTCCATACCCCCTATTTACATGTAAAGCACTTCTTACTCACTGGGTATCATGCCTCTGCTTAAAGAATTGTGAGATTGTAGCTGCTTCACATCTGACTTCCTTCCAAGAATGGAAACTCCATGTCTAAGGCCTTGCCTATCTCGTTGACTCACCACCCAGCTCAATGTGTCCATTAGCATTCTGTGACCACTCTGCATTTTTGTTGGGTGAACGAGGAAGCAAATGACCACCAGTCAGCTCCACTCCTTTTATTTCCACTTTCAAGATGTTTTATGCCCAATTTTGTAGACCTACTTGGTCTTAGTGTGGTTTTTGTCCTTGATCTCTGCAGGTGGAGGGACCGCAATGCCCGGGGGAGGTCAGGAACCAGGGAGCTACTACGTGGGTGTGGACGTTGGAACGGGCAGTGTGCGTGCGGCTCTGGTGGACCAGAGGGGAGTCCTTTTGGCTTTCGCAGACCAGCCAATTAACCAATGGGAGCCTCAGTTCAACCACCATGAGCAGTCCTCGGAGGACATCTGGGCCGCATGTGGTGTTGTCACAAAGGTATGGCCACAGCTGTGGCGTTCTACCCTTGCAGATGCTCCCCTGCCCTCACCTGCTGAGCATGTCTCTTGTACACCTGGTGTCAGGGACAGTGTTGGGGTGCTTTTGATACAGGCGTTACCTTACGGGAGCTCATAGGCTAGTGACAGAGATCAATAGACAGCTAGACTATGACTCAAGTAGGTGCTGGGGGCTAAGTGGCTATGGCTGGAGCTGAGGAAAGGGGATCTCGGGCACAGGTAGATGGGACAGATGTGGAGCCTGCGACCAGATGTGGTCGCATGTGACCGAATGTGGAGGAAGTCACGATAATCATAGCTGACACCTGCTGTGCCTTCAGGTGTGCCCAGTGCTGTGTAAACCGTGGTAGCATGCATCGTGTATGTGCATCCTCACAATGACCTTATGAAGGTAGTACTATTACGACCCCTGTATTATTGAGAAGGAAATAGGCACAGAAAGGTTAGGTGACTTACCCAATGGTGAATGGTTGACAGGGTAGATGAGGGGACTGGGTTCATGGTGGGACTGGAACCGTAAGCAGGCTGACTCCAGAGCTGCACCCTTAGTCACTGGACTGTCCTGCCTTCCAAGTGGACAGGTTGGGGAACCTCATTTTGTTCAGTGGCAACAACATGTGCAAAGGCGCAGTGGCATGCACATGTGTGTTTTGAGGAAGCAAAACTTTGAGTTGTGCCAGGCAGATGTTGATGTTGAGTGGCCTTGGATTGCAGTCAGCCTGCTGATGATCGGGAGCTACAGAGATATTTTTGTCTGTTTTTTTTTTTTGTTTTGTTTTGTTTTGTTTTGTTTTTTTAGAGGGAAAAATAAAGTCCTGGTTTCTCTCTTCTCTCTGTTCCTAGTTTTGTTCCTTAAATATTCATGAAGCGTTTGGTAATTTGCAGATGGACAATTCACCATTCTGTCCGTATTGATCAGTCTGTTTAAACTTTAATGAGCTCTGGGCTGCTGTTAGTGCCCCCAGAGAAGACGGCAGAGAGAGGAGGTGGGGGTGGGCAGCGCTGGAGCATTCTGTAGGAATAAAAGTGGGGGCATGTCTCTTCTGCCTGTTTAATTTTCCTCTTCCCTCCTCACTCTTGGCCCCCGCCTTAGTGAGAATCTTCTACTCTTTGCCCTTGGGTCTCCTTTGTTCTTCTAACATATAGCCTTTCTTGCCATTAAGGAAATTGTCAAGAAGAAAATATAATCCCCTGATGAAAAGCTACTTTAAAAAAAGGTCTGGTCTAAGTACAGCTTGGTTTAATGGTAGATTTTTAATCATCTCCCGGTGCTGGCCAGCTCATCAGCTGTTTGAGCACTGTGAGCCCCCATGAGTGCCCTGGGCATTGGTCCTTAGTGAGGCTATTGCACTGAGGCTATTGGGATAAAGCTCTTGGGTCTCAGGCTGTCCCCTCACCTGGAGTATGGCTGTGTGACTGTGTGCCAGAAGCCATGGGATAAGCATGACACATTTACTCGCAGCTCATGGCTGGTATGAGGTTTAGAGAGGGAAGCATTTGTATATTCAGGAGTTAGCACACCATAGGGCACAGATTCTGGAGCCAGACGTCTGGATTGACATCCTATTTCCGACATTCATTAGCTTGTCTTCTTGCACAGGTTACTTCATGTTTCTTGCCTGAGTTTCCTTATCTGTAAGATGGGAAAGATGATTGTACCTTATCTGCAGTGGGTTGTTGTGAAGGATCAAATGAGTTAATGCATATACAGTGCCTCGACAGTGCCTGGAAATGAGGAAGCACTGTGTTTTCCTGTGGTGGTGGTGATGGTAACAGTAATGGAAATGGGTAGATGGTGCAGGACAATGAAGTAAGATAAAACACTGAAACATCAGAGTCAATTAGGGAGGTACCTTTTGGGACTGTCTGCTCACTCCCTGTCTTTAGGGTTCTTTGTATGTAAGATTTTGACAAGCGCTGTATAGGGCAAAAGGTGATGTAAAATACATCCTGTCTTGTGTCTTCTTTTTCAAGGACTTCAGGGAGTTAAGAGCTTGAGAGCAGTTGTTCTCAAGCTGGGTCGTTCACACTGCCTGAGATGGTTTGCCTCTTAGTCAAGTTAATAAGGACAATAACAACAACAACAATAAGATGATGATGATGTTGATGCAACTACCATTTCTCGGGCACTAATTATGTTCCAGGTACCATGTTGAAGACTTCACATCCATTTATGCGCATGACAGCCTCTTGAGGTAGTTTTTATTCTGTTTCAGAGCTGGAAGGAATGAGCTTTGAAGGGTTAGGTAGCCAGCCCAAGGTCACATGGTTAATATGAGCAAGGGGTGGACTGCAGCTGCCCCCTCATGCTCTGCTCTTTGCCCCTGTCCCCAGCCTCATTCCACTCCCCATGCTCCCTGCTTGGAAATCATATTAAACTACCTGAAGTGTTTTGAATTTGCCACTATGTGGGGAACCTTGACCTTACCCTGATTGTTATCTTAACCATACTGAATTATAAGTGGCTTTACCTGGCTGTCTGCTTATGTGAAAAATGTGTGTCCCTCGCAGGGGTCATGTCTTGTTGATCTAAATTTCCCTAGAGTTCCTTGCCTGTGATATGCCCAATTCATATTTGTGGAGTACATGAATGAATTAAACACCTCTGTTCTTTTCTTTTCTTTTTTTTTTTTTTAATGTTTATTTTTGAGAGAGGGTGCGAGTGGGGGAGGGGCAGAGAGAGAGGGAGACAGAGATCCACAGTGGGCTCTGTGCTGTCAGCGCAAAGCCTGACGTGGGGCTCAAACCCACAAACCTTGAGATCATGACCTGAGCCAAAGTCGGACACTCATCTGACTGAGCCACCCAGGTGCCCCTCTGTTATTTTTACTATCTGACATGTTCTTCTCTTCTTTACCTGCCCAACTCCACAGGTATTTATAAGGTAATCTTAAGCATTATTTCCTCCTGGGAGCCTTCCTGGATGACCTCTGACAGCCCCTGCTCTCCCTTGCCAACCTCAGAGGAAAGAGAGGGTGAGAAACCCCTCTGTGCTGCCCTAGAACCCACTGTCTTCACCTGTCCTTGCCACATAGCATTTTATCTGGTCCTTAACAGGTTTCATTGTACTTGATGATGTGTTTGGTCGCTTTAATACCATCACCCCCGTATTTCCAGCATCTAATACGTTGCCTGGCACAACTTTGTTGCTCAATCAATGGATGTTGGATTAATGTTACTTAGAGCTACGAAGAAGTAAACTCTGGCATCCTTTATCTTGCTTAAATGTTGCAGTGACTGTGTGAGGTAGACTGCCATTCTTTGTTTTTGACACATGAGGATATTGAGGCTCTGAAACTAACAGGTATTAGAGACAGGATGAGACCCCTAAGGAGGGGACTCCAAACCCTAGTCTCGGTTCTCCTACTCCCGCTGCTCCTAAAACTGGTGGGTCTTTACTGGGTCGGTACTCACATATCTAAAAAGTGCTATGGAAACACACAAGTCCTAGAGGTATAGACTGTCCCTGATTTTAAGGGCTTAGATCTCTTTTTGGAGCCACAATCTTAATCCTCCCAAGGAGGTGAGAACATATCAAGCTTGTGTATGATTAGTACCAGCTTCCATTAGGAAGAAGGAAAAAGAAGCTGCAGGCATCAGTCAGCCAACAGGCATTTGTTGAGTGTTATTTGGTATGGACACTTTGAGCACCTGCTATGCGCTATGATTTTTGCTGAACTGGAGTGTGTCTAGAAGAGGGCTATAACGAATTCTCTGCCCCTAAGGATGAAATGGTTCAGTTGCATGGAAAAACCCAGCACCTAGGAAGCCAACAAAGTATTGTTTTGTTCTAAGTTGCACTAGTTATATGAGTAATGGTTGGAGGGAGAAGGAGCAGAAGAGGGAGTAGCCCATGTGGGATTGAGCAATAATGTTAACCTTTTACATTTGTAGAACCTGCGAGGTTTACAAAGCTCGTTCATAGCCATTTGATTGTCATACAAGGTAGGTGGGGCAGGGGTGGTTGTTCCCATTTTACAGTTGAAAAGAAAAACTGAGACCCAGAGAATTGACCTTCCCTAAGTCACCCAGGAAGTTGGTGATGAGCCTGAACTCAGGTCAGATCTCTGCCTTCTTTCCATCTCCAGCACCACATACCTTTGTTGCTTGTCTGGATTAGTGTGAGAACCTAACTGATCTCATGTATGGGCTTCCCCTTCCCAATCCTGTCTCCTTCTTGGAGCTGGGATGATTTTTATTTCAAAGTTTGTTTATTTTTTGAGAGAGAGTGAGAGAGCGGGGGCGGGGGAGGAGCAGTGCAGAGAGAGGGAGAGAAAGAATCCCAAGCAGGCTCCGCACTGTCACCACAGAGCCCGATGCGGGGCTCGAACTCACGCACCGTGAGATCATGACCTGAGCTGAAATCAGTATTTGGATGCTTAACTGATTGAGCCACCCAGGTGCCCCAGGAATGATTTTTGTTTTTTAATGTAATCTGATCACGGCATTCTTTTGCTCACCACATTTCAATAGCATCAGACTACTATTTGGATAGAACTCCAGGTTCTTAACAGGGTCTTCAGGTCCTGCATGATTTGGGCTCCACCTACTTTCCTGGTCCATCTCATGATGCTTCTCTCAGCTCCCTGCATTCCAGCCACACTCTCCTGTCCTGCCCTCAAGCATGCAGTGCTCCCTCTGGCCTCAGGACTTGTACACGCATGCTTCGTTCGTTTTTGCCTTCTGCCAACATCTCTAACCCCTCTTCATCCTTGGATTCATGCTATTCAATAATACAGTAGTCTCTAGGCACATGTGGCTATTTAAGTTTGTTAAAATAAAGAACAGTTTGAAATGCAGTTCCTTGGAAGCACTCGCCACATTTCTGATGCTCTGGAGCCATGCATGGCTCATGGCTACTGGATTGGGCAGCACAGTGACAGAACATTTCTATCACTGCAGGAAGTTCCGTTAGGATACTGCTGCACTGAATCTTAGTTCAAAAGTCAGTCCTTCCAGGAACAAGCCTTTTCTCTCAAT